ACAATGTACATGCTTTGTATTAATATGCTTGAGATGGAAAAGCTTTAGATGGGTCAGATGTCCCAAAGATCATCAGGAACAACACCCTGGGCTACATATCCCACAGGGAGAGAAGGAACAAACAGAGGGGATAAAAGACAAAGATGAGGGAGTGCAGATACATTCAGAGGAAAACTAGGACATCATGATGATAAGAGTCAAAGAGGAGCAGGGGGTTGGATGCAGTGTATAGTTTGTTATGCAGGCAGTTTAATTGTAGTAGTCATTTTGGGTTTGCTGCTGTTAATTGCAGATATGGAAATGGCAGTGCATTATAAAAAAAAAAGCTCTTAAAAAAGAGATTGTTGTTGGACGAGACTAAGTGAGAATTATACTGGATGGGGGGGCTTATAGTCTTGGACATTAATATTCTCCACTTTATGACCCTCCTCTCCTTCGGTCTCCACCCAGAGGGCTCATTATTATCAGAGGAGAGCGGTTGATCTACGCAGACACTCATATGAGCGCTGTCTGAAGGCATTACCGTACACACACACACCCCCAGTGTGAATGATTAGGAACCTATCATAAACAGGAGGGGCAGGCTGTTAAACATGACCGTCAGGCAGATCCTCCATGTGCCCCCATCCTGCTCAGGCAAACACACATTTGGTTCTTTTACATCTCTGTGCACCACTTACACTCGCCCACCTCCGCTCGCACACACTGACCCTGGACACACAGATGCACCCTGACACATGACAAACCTCATATGCTATTTGCAGGAACCACATTGAGCTACTTAGTGTTTCAGGCCTCCCAATTATTCAAATGTAAGATGCAAGACTGACCCCACTCTCTTCAGCAAGGCAACAGAGCGGCCATTAGATAACCAAATGAACATTATGAGGACCAGAAATAACTAAAAACTCCACGTGTCACCACAGGTAACACCTCCGCTCTCGGTGCCCTCTAACCTGGAGCCTTTTGTTGGATGAACAAAGAAGAGAGTCGTCGGCAAAGAAATTTGTCCTCTTGGAAGACAATAGCTAACTGGAGCCATGCCAGAGTATGGTAACCTATTTCTGCAAATTTTTATGAAAAACTCCTTCTTATTGTCATGCCGCTCTCTCAAAAGTTATCAAAACCTGGAAAACGTCAAACCAATTTATCGAGAAATGAAGCTCACAAACAAAACCTGAATATTTAAAGCTTTCAAGACATCTTTTGGCCTCTGCAGTGATGGTCTGAGTGTGCTTGAAGAAGGTCCCACATCACAACACAGCCCACACATGCATCGCCCTGTCCCCTTGTTCCTAATGAGCTTTATCGCATTGGTCCCGCTTGACTTGTCTTGCTAACTGGCACACATATATCCATATGTTCCACATGAGCAGGCAGAGGGGACAGGCTGGGTGGCAGCGCTGCTTTCTCAGTTACATCTGAGAGTTTTACTGCAACAGCCAGCAGCAACAGCAAGTCAGCTTAACTCCATCTCTGTTGTGCGTGTGTGCACACTGCAATTAGTCATGAGAAGTGTTAACAGCATCCGCTTGCTGCTGATGTTCAATGAGTCAGATATACAGACTGGGATATTTGACAGGCCTGCATCATAGCTACCTTGGGTACAACACAGCTATAGGGAACTTTAAGAGGAAGGTCAATAGTATATGTGCTTTAAAAAAGCAGTTCAACTTCATTTAAAGGGATATTCCGGCATAAAAATAAGTTAGGGTCTAACACACGACCGCTTGCCTCTCTAGTTATACAAACCTTAGTAACAACTGCACGATAGCAATACAGAGGGCCACACGCTCAAACAAAGCAAACATACCAGTGCCGAAATAGCTCAGTTGGGAGAGCGTTAGACTGAAGATCTAAAGGTCCCTGGTTCAATCCCGGGTTTCGGCATTTAAGTAGAAAATTTGCTTGCTTCCCTCCTCCTGGCTTTCACACAGCTCCTTGCAACTATTCGGGACCTGTCCCAGAATGCTCAGTTCACAACTGCACCATGCTTAAAACTGACGCGGAGACAATATCACAACCAGTTCACAACGTTTCCATCTGCTAAGGCCAAAAGATCAATGCCTCAGTGAACAGCTGCTGGAGGTTGTAAAAACCAATCAAGGCAATAGTTAACCAAAAACTTTTAGCCATACAAATCAAAGTTATGTTATTCAGCTGTACACTGCACACGTTTCCTCTTGGTCTTTCGCTTAAACCACGGTCAAACTCTGCCTGCCTGTGCCGAAAGAGCTCAGTTGGGAGAGCGTTAGACTGAAGATCTAAAGGTCCCTGGTTCAATCCCGGGTTTCGGCATTTAAGTAGAATATTGGCTTGCTGCCTCCTCCTGGCTTTCACACCTCACAATGACTGTCAACTGTTTGGTATAAATGTTTTTCCTTGAGTTGGGTCCCCTTACTGCAGTCGATGAACTCGCCCGAGGTCTCGCTACAAGCAAGTGGCTGCTGGAAGAGAGTGGGTGGGTTGTGTTTACTCTCTTTCCTAAAGATATCAAGCAAAGTTAAAAAGAATTTTGGTGGCTAGTGCTTTGGCTAGGACCCTATATGTACTGTTGATGAAGTTAGGTGTTGTCCTGAGCATTATTTGTGGCTATGGAGTGGCTTTTTGGTTGAGCGCATGGCTCTCTGTATTGCTATCGTGCTGTTGTTACTAAAGTTGGTATAACTAGAGAGGTAAGCGGTCGACAACATTCATCTCTTGACAGGGTGTCTAACTTGGTTTTACGGTGTGTTTGACCCTAACTTAAATTTACACTGGAATATCCCTTAAAGAATGTAGATATCTTCCAATAAATTAAATTTCTTTCCTCTTTGTTTTTATTTAATTTTCACATGACAAAATCTGGGCGTATTTTTGCTACTCAATTTTGGATCTTTTTCAAAATTCTGTTTTTCTGTCTTAAAATTGATCCTGTTAAACTTCTGTTAAACAAAGACAAAGTAAAAACCAGGGCCTGCTTCCATGTCACAACACAACATTCATATATACATTTTTTCTGCGTCATAACATCTTCTGTCCAAAACCAAAGCATTTGTCCAGGAGTGGAGGGAGACTACTCATCAACTTACATAGGTAACCGTGCCAATGCTTGAAGTTATTTTTCTTTATCCAAATGAGTATCACTGTATTAAACTATCTGTTCAAAAAAGCCACTCTGTTTCCTTGTGTGGTGACACGAGGTGTTGTGTAATGTCTCAAACATTTAACTTAACAAAGATGACTCAGTTCTTGTAAATAACAAATACAACTTATTTGCCAGTTTATCTGTCCAAAAAGTCAAACTTAAGGCTGGCTAATCTTTTGTGCCACTGTCATGTCCAAACACTCTGAGGAAAAGCAAACATTAAAACAATAATTGTCCTGGTCATTAAAGCAATAATTCCCATGAAAGACTAGAGAGATAAACTGTCCTCTTGATGTAGCTGTGCTTTTGAACTTCCATAACTCAATGATGATAAGAAACAACCTTCAAAAGCAAGCACTGCCAGGCTCTCCAGTTGTGCTAGACTGCTGCCTCTCGATGCAAAGATTCTGGGTTCAAGTTCAACACAAAGGCTCTCCATGTGAGTTCTGAAGGAAACACTGTCTTTACACTGGAGTTGAACTTTACTTTTGAACTCCAGTATTTTGGAGGATAGGACTTTGCTTCTTTTTTGACATTTCTAGGTTCAAGTCCAGCACAGGGTATCTCTGTGTGAGACAGGAAAAAATACTTTCTTTACACCAAAGTCTGAGTGCTGCTTTTGAATAACAACAATCATTGTGAAATGCAAAGATCCTAAAAATGCATTCTGTGTCAGGCCTCCTTGTGGAGAAGTTGTAAAACTGCTGCGTCTCAATGCAGACTTTTCTGGTTCAAAGCCAGTACAGGGGGCTTCTCATGTCAGCCAAGAAATAAATGCTTTTCTCACACTGAACTTTTAACCATGCTTTTAACCTACTGTAATGTAACACGTCAAAAACTAAATGTATCATATTTAACTGTTTTGACTGTTTATAATGAAATTGTTAAATAGAAAGACCTGAAAAGTCAAGCACAGGCTAGTGGTGAGTTGGTTAAAGCTGCTGCCTTTGAGTGAAATGGTCATAGTTTCAAATCCACCCAGAATGGGGACTTTCAAGTTGTGAAAGAAGGAAATGCTTTCTCCACACTGATGACTCAACCTCGGTTTTAAGAAGTCGCGACAAAATTGTGAAATGAAAAGATGAAGCAAGCATTAGTGTGGAGGCTTGTGGTGTTGATAAGCGTGTGAAATGTAGCATCAACCCTGAGAGGGCAGAGAAGGTATCCCAGCCCAAAACCTTAATGGTTGGATAGAAATTGATTCATTGTGCCCATTATGCTCAGAATAAGCAACTTTGAACCATTCTGGCAGGCCTTGAAAGGACTTTGTCAATAAGGTAGTTCACAGGTCAAAGCACTCAGACTGACACTAGCCAAAGAAGATTCAGTAGAGGAGAAGAATGACAGATATTCAGTGTTGGCTGTAGAAGTTCAACAGGGTGGGGGAGGTAGAGCGTGCAGGTTAACCCAAAGGGTCTCTTACTAAGCCTCTGCCTTCCCTGTCTCCTCTCTAAAATTTCATTACTGACTCTCCCCTCTGCTTTTGCTCTTCTCTGCACTTATTAGTGCAGACGTAAGGGAAGGTAGGGTGTACAGCCTCACCCGGCAGTGTTTTCCTTTTTACATCTGGCTACATTCACTCTCACCGATTATTTTCTTTTCTCCTCGAGGGGGCTGAACCTAAGTGGACAAAACACTGGTGAAAGGAGGTGTTCATTTAATGTTAACCTGGTGATGCATGGTCTCTGGTCTATTTGTTGGGGGACATTAGCGGTCATTTAGCAAATTATGTAACTTATCAGTAATGCCTAAATGTTTGGATGAGGGCACAAGTTCTTCTTTCAGCACGCATCCTCTCATTAGATCACAAGTAGGTTGTGTTTAATTGAAAACCTTAAGCAGCAGCTGTTAAAAGGGATAATTTCACGTTTGGTTTTGGAGAAGCACACAACAGCTCTAAATGTTTAATAATGATACTTCGGAGTTCAACAAAATACACAAACCTTTATTTTTTTGAGACAGTTCATGAGCATCTGTAGTGTTGAAATAGAAACATCTTGATGCATTTGTGCCCATGTGTAACAGAATAAAATCAAAAGGGGGTAAAATTCTGGAAAAACAAGGATTATTTTTCATGTAGAGATACACCAAGCTGTTATATACAATGTCAAATGCAGTGGAAATCAGTCAGTACATGCAATACCAGAGAAACCCTCATTTGAGAGTTGACCAAAAAGAAAAAAAAATTGTTTAATCCTATGTATTAAACCCATAAAGTATTCATAAAGACTAGATTAAACAATAAAGTCATAATCAGTAAAGCTCAAACAAAACATTAGCTATGGTCAACAAAAATCAAGGATGGAGCTAACTCTCATGTAAACCAATAAATACATGTCAAACTAAGTAACAAGAACAAAAAGTTCACAGGCACAAAAAAAACCAAGGCGTGCAAAAACCATGCCATTTAACATCTTTTAATAAACAGTTTGTTTTTAAAGCACTTAACTAACAAAAGTTGAACAAAAATACATTAAAATCATTTGGCAAGATAACCTGTAAACAAAGAACCATTGCTTGTGTCTGTTTAAAGAACAACAATCTAATTTTACATGAATTCATCTCAAAGTTCAAAGGATACTTGATAAATAAATAAAATCAGAATAAAATGTTCTTTCTGCGCTGTTTCACATTAAGATCACTATTAAAATCTGGTCCTGTCTCTGGATATCCACATAAAGCTCAGCATTCAGCTTCATTTTATTGAAGACTATGTACACAGATCTGAGGCAGCAGAGCCGGCGACGCGGCGGGAAGGCACCATGGATGGAAAGTTGAGTCCACTTGGCCTGATTTGCTCCTGAATGTCAGAAACAGAACCCAGGTGGACCCGTAGGGTTAATGGTCAACAGACGATCCTCCATCCTCTGGTTTGTTCTCTACAGTGTTTGTTCACACAATCCCAAACAGTAACATCTGTCCCATTTTCATAAGGAGAGGGTGGAGTGGTGAAGAAGTACATCTGTCTTTTCAGACGGAGTTGTTCAATAGTCCTCCTCACACACACACACACACACACACACACACACACACACACACACACACACACACACAAACACACACAAACACACACAAACACACACACACATCTGGAGAGCACCCAGACCTCAGACCTCAGAGCTCGTCGTGGTTCTTGGTGAGGTCCTCTCCGTAGTTGGTGGCCTGACTTCCCACAAACATGTTCCAGTTTTCAAGGATCTCCTCTTTAGTCAGCATCTGATCCTGAGAGGGGAAAGCAATAGAAATAAACTGTTTATAAAGCTGTCTACTCACAAATACAGTTCCGCCTGATGATATCTCTATCTTTGCCAAAAAATCTAAAAGCATATCTCAAAAAACAAAAACAAGAGGAACAGGTGGAGAGAGAGAGAGACATTGCAATAAAACAGCTTGCTTCGAGAAAAATTTAAAAGGTAAGAGGAAAAAATAAAGATTAAAAGTTCACAAAATGACCTCAAGATCTATCATTATAATGTTAACAAGGTCTCATAGCTGTACTTGTTGTTCATGATTCAGTACCTTGTCCTGGTCAGACTCGTACACCAGATGTCTGGCCTCGGCCTGGGCGTGGTCATAGTCTTGCGGCATAATCCAGTGGCGGATCTCCTCCTGGTCCATCTTCCCATCTTTGTTCAAGTCTCTGAAATCAGAGAACTGTTCCCTCTCAGTCTTGACCCACTCTGGTTCCGGACCCCCGTCCTCATGAGCAAACATGTCAGCTGAAAGGCGGAAATGAATAAGGTGCGATATTAAAAACCTGCCATTGGAAATTGAGGCTTGCAGTGTAGGAACAAGTAAACTCTTAGATAGTTTTGCTTGATTTTCCTCTCAATGGGGGCGACTATTTCAACTTTGACTTATTATCAGGTCAACACAAAAATACAGAAACAATGAGCTGGAAAAGCAGAGGGGAAGCAAAGAAAAGTACAAGATCTAGTTTTTCAGTCTAACTTCCAAGAGCTCAAGACAAATTTGAAGCTCCTGCAAATGCTAAGAAAACAGAGAAAGATCTAGGGTAGGGGCCATCCCCAGTCTCTGCTGGATTTAAGTAATCAGAGAGTTTCTAATTATTTCACCATTATTTGTGTCTTTGACAATACTCTACAACTACTGCATGTTTTTATTTTTAACGAGCTTTGCTACTTCAAACACACTCAAAAGTAATGAATTAGTTATAATTATTTGTAGAGCTCTGTCACCAGGGTGCAACTAGGAGAGGTTTTTTTCTATTCAGAAAAGAGTACAAACTAAACAGTCTGCATCAGGCTGAACGCAAGTGAAACAGTTTTCAAGCAGGGTGAGGATAAGTACAGGGTGTTGCTGAAATGTGAAGCAACGCATCGATATCTCAATCTTGAGTAACACATTATCAAGCCAGCAGGAATCTCTAACGCTGCTGTTATCTTTTGCTACTATCGCTGATTGAATTCATTTGTTTCAAAAGATCATCTAATTTGATTTAATTACTTTAAATAAGTTGCTTTCACTTACCAATATACTCATCTTCATCCACATGCCCATCCCCATTCTTGTCAATGTCCTCCAGGGTTTCCTGTCATCACAATGAGTTTATGATGTCATTAAAGGGAGACACAGCAGTCAACAATACTGAACTTTCCCTCTGAGTAATAAAAGAGAAACTATTGGCCCCAGGCAGGATGAGCGAACGTATGAGGGTCAGCTTACAGTTAGGCTGGCAGACCGACACACACACATTAAAGGAGTCCCTTCAGATGAGAGCCAAAGCTTCCACATCTACAGGATGATTTAAGCTCCTTCTACGTGAAGCTTTTCACGTCCTGGGTTTGACAGAGTGTGAATATGACTAAATGGTCACTACATGGCTTGTCGTGTGAGTTGATCATTAGTTAACAACCACACACATACATGTACAGTAAGTGAAATGCATCTGGGTCATATCACATGCATGCAACTACACAGATTCAAATCACTGCATGCATCCTCTCCTGCAGGTGAGAGCCCCTCACTGCTGAATGATTAATAACCATGTAGCTTCTTTCATCTATTAGCTGACTAATAGTACAGAGGAGCATTTATCCTGTGTCTATACCCACTTAAAGTTGCGTGTTGGCAAGAAGAAATATTCATTAAAAATATAAAACCTACAGACAACTATAGACCTTTGTAACTTGGGAGTGCGGTAGAGGTCCTGTACATTCAAAAGCCGTGAGTCAAGAGGCAAATCACAGTTACACTCTTCTATTCATGAGTGCACATAGAAAAGTTTTGTTCAAAAATGATTCTTTTAAGTGTAATAAAGGCAAATTTAGGTCTTTAATGGTCTGTCATTTCTGTATAGTAAACTAATAAGGTGAAAAACAGTTTCCTTATTATTAGCAGACGTATTAAAAATGCCTTTAAGTAAATCTTTTAATTTTGCAGCAAATTATTGATTTCTTTACTGAGTCACTGTATAATGGGAAGGATAATGCATGGAATAATAAGAGGGTTTATTTCTACTGTATGAAAATGCTCATGGTCGTCACCACATTTGGTGTATTTCTGTTATGATGATGTACTGTAGATTATCTAACAACCTCTTGCAAATAATACTACACAGTAGCACTGGATTTTGAGTCAAGTACGGTGGATTTTCCATATTTTAAATCTTTTACTGATGTAATTAGCTCTCTTTGCACTTTGCAGGTTTGAATCCAGCTTTATAAAACCAGAATTTCAACAATAAACAGCATCTAAGCAAATATATGGCCGACAAATAAGCCACAAGTCCAGAGACTTCTTTATTGTTTACCTCAAAAGCGAAAGATATTTTGTCCATCTAAATAACCTTTCTATAAAACTCAGACATTCAATCAACCCATGAAATAGTTGAAAAGACATGGTGCCATATGCCATGGAAAACAACTGTGCTGAGGTGTTAACTGAGAGAATCTGGAAAGAGGTGTCCCACCAACTTACAAAAAAATTGTGTGGCGATCGGGTTTTGTTTAAATATGTTTGCAAAGGAAGAACTATGTTTCAAAAGAGTAAAAATTTGACTGAGATGGGGTCTAGTTGCTTATCAGAATAAATATATGAGGCATAATGCAGCATAAAGCATTGCAAAGTACCTCTGTTTTTATGCCATTTGTCCTCACGTGATTTCTTATGCCATGAATGGGTCAGTGCTGCATGGATGTGTGAAAGACCTGGAATAAAAAGAGGGCTTACCTCTCAATAATTTGAGAAAATGGCCTCTGATTAAACCCAAGCCACATTCACCACAACCGCTGAGGACCCCTGGCTGAACAGGTCTTTGGTTACATCCAGTGACATCATAAAAATGAAGGATTAATAATTAACTTTGTCAAATGGGTAGTACAACTTTTATGAACAGAGCGGCGTAGTGCATCACTGCTAACATTTGCCACGCAACTGTTCCATGAAGCCAAATTTATATTTAAAGATTGAGTTTTAAATGGGACAGTCGGTCCCATCCCACTGGACCTGTTCCAAAAAATACTGAAACTCAATGATTTCCTGCCCAAGTTAAAAATTCATCTGAGCTATTTCTTGTTGTGTCAGATTGATGAAACAGAAGTCAGAGATTTCCTTTTGATTAATCATATTTCTTAGTGGTGAAACAGAGGACTTAACTCTAATTTTCAGATGTGTTTGTGTTCCCTCCTTGAACAAACTTCATGAGAAAGTAGACTTGCTTCACAGCTCTGCCTCTTTCTAATCATACTTAATGACCATGTGATTACAGAGGGCTTACCAGAACCACAATATCCCTCATGTGCTCAAACTCCTCTGGGTGGAGAAAGGATGTGAACTCTTCTCTGTCTGCTACAAGGTCCCCATCCACATCAGCGGTTTTAAACCTCCTCTCGTCACGAGGGAGCATCTTCTTGAAGCTGAACTGGTCTGTTGCATCCTCAAACTCCTCCGGGTTTGCTAAGTGGGGCATTTGAAACCTTGTTACACTTCAGTACTTTGTTTATTTAAATAATTATGGCACATTATGTTAGAAACACACATACCAAGGTAGTATCCATATGTAGCTTGCTTGTACTCATCCCATGAAATCTTGCTGTCTTTGTTCAAGTCGTAATCTGTCCACACCTTCGCCACATTCTCATATACGTAACGCTTCTGGACACGTTTTATCCAGGCCTTGAGTTCTGCTGTGGTGATGAAACCATCAGTATCACTGTCTATCCGGTCCACTATTTTACTACAAGGAAAGAGAAAGACAGGGGAACAGAATTGTTAGAATTTGCACTTTTTGTATTCAAAGAAGATAAGAAATATCTATGGGAGAGTGGGGTACATTGAGCCAAAGGGTAAGTTGAGCCACACCCTGTTGCTTGGAAATGGTAAAAGAAATTGATCATGTGACCAAATATTTAGGAGATGGGCATCAGTTCATGGAGTCTGTGAAGGTTAGAAGCACATGAGTGAAGGGGTTAGACATTTATTTACAAAAAAAACACTTTTCACTCTTGAAAGTGAATTTAGTCTGTCATAAGTTTCATTAGAATTGTGTTCAGACCAAAAAAGATCATTTTAAATTTGTTTTATACATCAGTTGTGGTATCTATGAGCTACAACATGAGGTCAAAAACCAACAAAAAGTCCACCATTTTAGCTTAGAGGACTAATAAAGTCATAATAGTAGTTCTGGGGTAAGTTGAGCCAGATTGTTGAAATGTGTTACCTTTTCTTTTCAAAAATACAGCTGTGAATATTCTGAATCACTTAAAGGCATTCTCATGTTAGTATGGCTTTTTACAAAACAGCTTTTTAGCAGTTACATGCAACAATAATAAAAAGAATGATTGTACCAGTTGAATAGTGTATGATAGATAAAAATACACATGAACGTGAAGAAATGACTGTTATTTAGGTAGAGAGAAGCTGAGGGAGGGCTGGGATAGTAGGGATATGGCTCAACTTACCACATACATAGGGTAAGTTGACCATAGGAGACCACTTTTTTTGACATGCTATATTATCAAGACAGTTATGTTCACACTCATTCTATTGGTTTGCAGGGATGCACAACATCTTGAAATATATGCAGATACACTAGTTAGAGACAAAAATATGATTGCCTTGATGTAGTGATCTAAAATATGAAAAATGGCTCATCTTACCCCACTCTCCCCTATTATAAGAGTTCGAAATATGCTTGAACACTTATTATCAGCAGGGTGGAGATAAAATCGTGTTTTCAGCCCAAGGGAATGTAATTTCAATGAGAATACTTAAGTAGGAGGAGCAAGCAAACCCATTTACAGAAAAATGCAGGATGTGTGTGTAGCTGTGGTGTATTCTGAGAGCAGGGTTGCCACGTTGTGATGTTAGGGGTCCCTCCCACTCTCAGCACCATCACAGGAAAGAGGTTTCCTTCTTGTCTTACATGGTGCCAACTTGTCATCCAAACAGAACCACGTAGCACATGACGTCTCCTCTCAGCAGAAAGTGACAGGACATCTATCTGTTCCCACACGACTTTGACTCTAACCCCATCGCCTCCAAATGCTACTTTAATGACGATGTATAATTAAGATTTCGGCTGGGCAATTAGCTCTATATGAGTGTGTGCGAACAGGAGTAATGCACCCCACTTTTACCCGGCCTTGTACTTTGCTGGCATGCACGTCTTTCTCAGGCATTTGTTAAATTTTAATGCGCTCAGCCTGCACAATTACACGCATCAGACTCCAGGAGCAAAGGAGTGAGTGTGCGTGATTCACCCCATGCTGCAACATGTGACAATAACACCAATGCTTTTTCACAGATATGAGAGAAATCAGCTCATGTTAGGGAGTTAATAGAGGTCTGCTCTTACCTTAGTCTATCTTTGCTCTCTTCTGGTGTGAGCTGATCAAATGTCCTGGCTTCCTCCTTGCCCAGAAAGGCCTCATGGTCGTACTGGTAGCTCTTATTGTCTTCGTGGCCCTGTCTGCTCAGCTCTGGCTCATGATGGACCCGGTCTTTCCTTAACGTGGGCTTGCTTTGCACGGCAGCAGCGCACAGGAGCACGGCACACACGAAGAAGCCGTGGACGTCCATCAGTGAGGGATGATAGAGATGAGACCACAACAGTTGTCTCCAGACAGGCCTGTGGATCTACAATGAAACAACAGGCGACACTATAAAGCCTCTTTTACCGCTCTAACTGGACACTAACCTCCACTTTCTCTCCTCTGCTGCTCTGTGTTGCAGCTACATCCAGTGGTAAAATCTGTAAAAGAGCACCTGAGGTCTCCTGACTGAGTATACACTCCTCACATACACAAATTTGGTAATTCTGTCCCCCTTTCCCTGAGAAAGGGATGCAACCAAACAGGAATTTTCTGCCGCCTTACGTACAGCCAATCAGAGTGTGCGTTTCAGACAAGGCCCGGCCTCCTCCACTAAAACGGCTCCTCCCATTGGTCTTGCGCATGTCGGTAACTTGAGAGGATTGAGGCGCCACGTAGCAAGCTGACGCTCAAACTGAGCCCGCTGTGGAGACATAATGGGTCTGATATCTGGAGTTATGGAGCGGGACAGTAGTTTTGTCTTAAAACATGAAAGCTTCTGACACTACAGAGCTGCTCCAAAAGCACAACAGTGGTCCTGCGTGGACTAACATGCCCCCACCATGGCAGTGTGGCTGTACGGAGAAGTGTGGAGTCTACAGGTATGTACGTGTGTAAAAGTTAATGTCCCTCATTTCAGTTTCGCGCCAAAAATAGGTCCCTCATGAGGCCCAGTCTGCAATAATATGACACCAAACAAACAAAGTCCAACCTAAATACTCAATGTGTTTGACCCTGTTATTATGGTAGGCAGTTTTTCTTCTTTCCCAAATTAAAATGAGCCGAATGTTTGTTTGCCAACTGTGAGAGTAATTTTCTGTGATCCAGAATAATAGTGGCAGTCTTTTCATTTGGCTCCATTGACTACTCCCAATGTGTAATAGGTCTATTTTAGAGTTGAAACTGTTGTAAAGTCATCTGGAATCACCTGCAGAGTCAAAAAAATATGGAAATCTGAAAAGAGATACATCTATAGTATATTTTATTCAGACTGTTTGAAAAATCTTTCGCAAAGTGACAGAGTTCAGGATAAATAATGTAAGTATATTTAGTTCTTGCAAGACTTGTAGACTTTGAACTAGAGTAAGTGCATTGTAGAAGAGGAAAGGAAGAAAACAAGACTTAAAAGGACAAAGCTGTCCTACCATAGGTACGAAAAGTACAAATCTGTAAAGTTGACTGTGTTTTCATCATAGTGCATGCTATCCATTAGCCTTTTGCCTGTTTGTCAATTGTTTTGGTCAAGTGAAAATAGGACAATTGGCGGCAATGAGCTGAAAAGGATATGTTGCAAGGCAGACATACTTTGGCTTTTTGATTTTTGCCTGGTGCTTGTGAACTCAGACAAAGACATTAGATCAAGCTATGACGATAGCTCGACCTAAATATACTGAGTGTTAGGAAGTGGTAGATCATTAAAGACTGTTGCACTCTTGTAGTTTTTTAAACATAGTGGCTATCTGATGGACCCTGTGTCCATATGTATGAAGTCTGGTGTTTGGGATGGACATCATGTCGGTGTCTGAAGGCCTAAAGTTCTGGGATGAGGAGTACAAGTGGAGAAGGTCAGAGAGGTACATGGATGGATTTGCAGGTGAGAAGTTGTGATTTATAACTGGATTTTATTGGGAGTCAGCAGAGGTGGATGAGGCTTGGTGTGATGTGTTGTCAGGACTTGGTGCAGTTGAGAACCAGCCGAGTAAATTCCAGTAATTTTCTTTTTCTCATAGAAGATTTCTTTATTGTAACCACATGTTGACCATTTTCTCCCATGTTACAAGCTCAAATACTGGAAGTCTAGAGTCTGCTACAAAAACATAATAATGAAATTATGGACATGGCCTTGGCCTGTGCCAGTTTCATTCTTATAGCAACTAGTCAGCAGACGGTCAGCTAGCCTATATCTTAACCAATACATTTTTGAAACCTGAGTGTGATTATAATCATTATGATAATAATAATACGTTTATTGATATAGAGCATCATGATCATGATATATGTTTGGTGAGATACATCATCTACAGAAATGTTGCCCCTGTGATAAATGAAGCTACTTGGTGAGTCTAATGCCTGAAACGATCACACAAATATGTCAAAGTCTGGAGGAGTCCAAAAGAAATACTGGCCTCCTGCCTGACAGTGACCCAGGGGAAGACTGTGGTAATTTTTTCTTGTGCTCCTTTGGAGTTTCCTCTCTGCATACTCAGCAATATGATTTATATCCCCTGATCCATAGAAACATTTATTATCTTCTTACAGTCGAGCTGTAACATACCACAGGTTCAGGAAACCTCAGCAAGTATACCAGAAAGAGGAGGTGATCAGACAGTTTGTATGATGAACTGCTCATTTCTCTATCAAAGCTCTTACAGTCACTGCCTGTGAGCACAGCTGCAGCAGCTCTGCCTCACTGGCCAGTGTAAAGCTGTGGCTGCGACTGCTTTATTATGTGTTACAAATACAACACAGGAGTTCAAGCATACAGTGACTTTTAAATACAAAGGGAGCATCACAATGTGAGTTTCCAAGGAGAAAAACAAGGAAAGCCTCCATTTCCTGAACAAGTAACTCCATAAAGTTTATTTCACATTATGAAAGGAAGCAGTTATCACATGTGCTCAAGAATGACAGTCATCCAAAACTCTTTTCTCCTGTGCTATATTTAGAGCAAAAAGCAGCAGTCCATGTCAATGAGAGGAATCAAGTTACTAGCAAACCAGTTCAACCTAGATTACATAAACTTCAGATGTCCAACTGATAGGCAGGGTGATAAGCTTAAAAAATGTTAAAGATATCTGACACACCTCTTTAAAAACTGCAGCAGTGATCTTCTTCTCAGTGTATCAGATTATCGTTCTCCACTTTCTTGCACTTAGGAAGTTAAAGGAACATTTCCCTTTTATTTTTATGGAACGTAACCTGCCATATCAGCTAAACCAGGGGTTGACTGAAGATCAGCTGTAGCCAAATATCAGGGCTGATATTTGATATACGGCAGTTTATCAATATTGAAAGCGTGCTACTTTGGCTCCGTTCAAACTGTGTCTTTCTCTTTTGGTATGTCTTTACCCACCACTCCCTCTCATCCTAATGTCCTATACTCACAATACTGTCTGATTATTTTGGACGTCAATATTTTTTTTCGAACCCGTATCCTGTCAATACAAGCGTTCACATCAGCAACGTTTTCCCGTCCTGCGATATTGCAGCATTTATTTTTTTGGGATCATGGTCAATTTTTCTAAAGTTTCGCATACTGTGTGTCCACTTCTGACCAATCAGATTGCATATTGTTGCAACGTCTGATTCACCGGTATATCCAACATGGCCGACCGGCTAACTGTTTACGTGTCGGAGAACAGAGTGCTTTTTGATAAAAAACACAAATATTACAAAGATAACGACTTGAAGGACAACTTGTGGAGTGTCATAGCGTCGGATTTCCGATATGATGATAGTTTGTGTGCTTTAACAGTTTGTTAAACGTCTTTGTTTTAACTTTCATCTGTGCTAAGTAACTTTAGCTCGTAAGCTAACCTGTTCAGATACAACATACCATATGTATTTTCAATGTCTCAAACTCAATCGCGTTGCTGTCACAGCACCATTAGGTCTAGGTTGTTACCTTACGTTTATGGATTATAGTTTAATGTGCTTATCTGGTACTGGCCCCGACTCAGTACATGCTATCTATAGTCCAGCAGAATAGTACGCTACATGCTAAAGACAGTCATCTCAACACTAGTGTATAATCAGAACTGAAAAACAGTCAGTCTACTGTTGTGTCAGTCTTCTCGCTTCCACCCCGGATGCGTCTTTTCCCCCCGTAAAGTCGAAAAATCGCATCGGGCTTGATGTGTACAGTCAGGCGCGTCAAAATTTTCCCTCGAATATTTCATAATTTTGTGTTCTATATTCGTGTTGGCCCCGGTGTGTGAGGAACTTAATGCTGACCTTGTTTTGATGAATCATTGAAGTGATTTATTTGCTTAAAGTAACTTGTTTTTGATAGTTTAAAGAGTAGTTAATTTTTTTCTTGTTACTTTAAGATGAAAAAATTCCAAAAACGTTCCTTTCAACTAAATAGAGGTTTGATGCTTGTATCAAAGAGAGCACTGCTGTCAGATTGTGCAGGGTATTTATATTTCTCTGAGTCAAGGAGAGCAAAAGTTATTCCGGTGTATCTAATGAGCACATGTCCAAACATTAACTTGAGTCTTCCAGTGAGGAAGTGGAAGAATGTCGGAAAATAAGTAAAACAGTTAGTTTATCAGTTTTAGTGTGAAGCTGTTTGTTAACTCATAACTGCGACGCAATGATTTGAGGACACACAAAGAGTTTGCATGGTTGGCGGGTTGTGATGATCGTATCTACATGGAAAAGACTAGAAGAATCACATTACTGCGACTCATCTCAACACGCTGTAATGTGGACGAGCAGACTCTCTACCCTGGAAACAACTTGCTGACACTGCCATGCCTAATCCTCGTTTGTGGGCAGGAGAAACATGTACTTTGCCATTCATCAGTAGCATAATAAGCCAGCACATGGCACTTTGCTGTTTTGCATAAAGAGTACACCCCAGTTTATGATTATAAAGGGGCCCTGAGGCTAAGTAGCCTCTTTATTCAATTAATGAATAGTTAATGTATTTAAATTAGTCCTGCCCGGTCAATTTAAATCAGTGTGTTGCACAGACATGAAAAAACACAAATGTGTTTTTTTAAGGGAGATACTCCTCAGAAACACAGCAAACATGCGTATAAATCAGTATAAATTCTGTAAAATATTTTTAAAATATTAAACTATATTAAGGTAGATCATGCTAGAGGAAGTTGTATGTTATCTTAAATATATTAATTAATCCTGTATTATCTTTATATAAAGGCTTAAGCTCTGGTTCTTAACATGCTTGAGCTAAAATGTTTGCAATCTTATTGGCCTAATTCCAGATAATAGCAGACATTTTGGGGGTACCACTTGCATGCTGAAGGTTATTGAAGAGTCAGGATCGAACACTAATAACATGGATGTACACTGCAGACACTAACACAGAGGAAGTAGATAGGAAATGTGGCTTTCAACATGAATATTTCACTGAGGAATAGAGAGGGGAGGGGGCTGCAGCAGCTACAGGGGTGTTCAGTTAACCATGAGATTATACACGTCGCAGAAGGCATTTGGTTAATGTAATTAAGAAAACCCTATGGTGGGAGACACAGAGCATTAGTGTCCAGCATGTACAGTTGTGTTACGGCCACTTCCTGCCCCCCAATGCACAGACTGTACTCTTCTGATTTACTGATATTTTTTAAAAGCTTTTGTTAAATATAAAATAACTCATAAAAACTGAGATCTTTGTCTGATTTATAAAGGTTAATCATAAAATCTTAAGTGTTTGAAGTAAATTGTGTATATAAAATTAAGCGTCTCATTCAAGAATAACTGTCAGCTATTTAAATTAAATTTAGAAATTTACTAGCACAAAAACAACCAGTCACCCTGGGGCTTTTGGGGACTGTGTCACAGTTTGATCTTTCGAAAGCCTTTTCTTTGCTTTTTGCCATCCAAGTAGAGGTTGTTGTTAAAGAATCTAACCAACTGAGATAAGTTTAATGAGTGGGCTCAGCTCAGCTGCAGCTTGGCACAAAAGGCCACATGGGTTCATCTTCCCTTGTGGCACTTAAGGATAAAGCAGATAAGAAAACAGTTCAAAGTCCTTCTATAGTTTGAGAAATACGAACCATCTGAGATACAAAATCAGTTCAGTGCAACAAAACAGGATTATCTAAGAAAGCTTTATCCAATCTTCAGCTCCTTGTGAAATCCCTTTTGCTGAATAATAGTTGAAGTCATACTGTGCAGTATTTAGCAAAACAGAGAAATGATATAGAATATTCATAAATATGTTTAAATGAATTAAAAGTCACCTGTCCACATAAAATAATCTTAATATTTACAGACAATGGGTCCTATTTAATGGAGGCAGCCATCTTGCACTGTCATGTTTTTACAGCAGCATAGCATGGACTGATTAGTGGCAGTTTTTGTATTTAGTTCGTGGCTAATCATAAAGCATTTGTTGAAAGAAAAAGTCAAATTTGTGACTGTTTCTGTGAGCTAAATAATTGTTACTGGTCAATGTTTTTGATTGTAAAAACTTGACTAACGATGGCAGAGTTGGCCTAACAGTCTAAACGTGCATCCTCATCCACCTGCTGTCCTGTCCTTTCCAAATAAAGGCAAAAAGGTTGATAGATTAATCTGTAAAAAATGCCTGAAAATGCAGGCCCATACCCGCATCCCAAGAGGTTCTTGTCCTTGGATGCCACCATCACCCCCATCGATGGGAGGGGTGAGCAAGGGAGCATTTCAGTACAGAGTTTTATCACTAACTGTTCCATTGTTTCTGAGCAAAGCTGGAAAAACTGACTTGAAGTGAATTGGGAAACTTTTTTTTGATAACTCAACAATTATTCAACACCATTTTCAAGTCAAATTTAAAATGTTTCTCGGTGTCAGCATCTCAAATACTTTTTTGACTGTTCTGACATTACAGCAAAACGTGTCCGTCCCTAGAATCACTCTGTTACATCAAAATCACACAGTTGACTCAGCTTTCATTAGCTACACAAAACTGAGACCAAAAAGTAGATGTACTTAAAACAAATCATTTAATGTGCAGTAGGCAGAAACTAGGTAGCAAGAGTGCAGGAGGGAGTTAAGGTTGCTTGGCAACAGTCCAGTTTCGGTTTAAGCCCCTGTAAGGAGTTTTTACTGATTGTGAGTCACACTGGAATTAATTCTGGTGCCACTGTATGACCCACAAGTCAAATGAGACCATCGGCAACAAGACTGATCAAATGTGTAATGGAAGCACCTGTGAGGGGATAGTTGTCAGATGAGATAATGATATCAGGCTGAAGAAACAACCGTCCTTTACATTCAGAGGAGCAAATTATCACGATTGAAAAAGATCAGCAAACTTGTAAGATGTGAACTTAGAGGGCGTCCAAATTGACTCAAACTAAAAGTTCCTCACTGCAGCTTTAAGTTGTGAAATTAGCCAAGTTAGTGGAGCAGTTTATGATAACACTATGTTGTTGATCACTTTTCAGTATTCTCTGCATCTTGTTGAAAAACAGTGCCACATTCAAAATCGTGTTGTTGTGCTGGATATCAGCATGACTAATTGTTGTCTTCATTCTAAAGTGCAGAAGATACTTATAAAATGAATCACAGTAGTGCTGTCATTCAAACACTCTCTCTCATGTGATTTTGCCTAATTAAGTGACAAATAGAGCATACCATATATCTATTATTGTTAGATCAGTTGATTGTACAGTAGTGAGTTAGCAGCCATGCACACAAGGGAAGAACGTGCAAATGTGCCTTAAAATTGTCTCAGATGCTTCATAAAAAATCTGTGTAACAGATCCATTAAGAGAAACACAGGATGTTGATAGTAGTTTATCATCTCACTTGCTGATAAAAAGTGTCTTCAGTCAATTTTAAATAGGAGCTTGTGTAACTACAGCGAACTAGTGAAAAGATTTGTTTAGTTAATTGTTAATGAGACCTCGTACTCTCTTTTATTTTCCTGAGGCAGCGTGATTCCCCCAAAGTTTCTCCTGTGTTTTTAACAAAGTATTTGGACTCGCAGTATGACAGCAGGATTTCCCAAACCTCTTCCCTCATAAATCTGAGTTTTATGTCACCTTTTACAACAAAAGTCTTTGTCAGGTTTTAGTTTGGCGTATGAGTTAAAGTAGAATATTGATTAGGCTGAACAATAACAGGAAATTGAGTTTCTCATCACACAATTACTCCCCACAATTTCCCTCTCCCTTGTGAATTTTCATAGTTATAATAACTCACCGCCCCTACTATTCTGAATAGATTAATAAACTTCTCATTGCTGCCACATAGGAGAAAAGAAACCTTTGCTCTGTTTAATGACAACTGTAAAGTGGAGGCAATCATGGGATGCCTCCCATGACATTTCCCCGTTCCTGTCCGCTCCACTTATCTTAGACAAATGGCTGTGCCAGGCTGCTATCGAGATGAAGCGTTTTCCCCGAGTCATTACGTCTGTCACCGGGGCCATTTCCATATTGAAAAATCTGAAACAATAAACGACGCCTGAGCCT